AAAAAAAAAAAATGTAAAAGTTGCCCACAAAAGTGCTTTCAAAAAACTGATTCTTAGTCTTCAAATTTTTTATTTTTCATTTGCACTCTAAGCGAGAAGCTGTGCAGAGACAACAATGCTTTGTCGGTGAAGAAAAGGAAGAAATAATAGAACCAATTTAACCATGCAGTTAAATTGTCTTAAACTGTCGCTGCACAAGAAAACTTAAAACAAAACTGCTAGGCCTGCCCCACTACCTTTCTCTGAAACTAGCTACTAACAAGCATATGTAAGCCTCTAAGAATATCATTTTCAAAGCTGACAATAACGCTACAAAAAATGTTTTGTAAAATGTAGTAAGTTAATGAAGTAAAGAAAAAAATAAACCTAGAACGACAAAAGTCAAACCCGCAGCAGAAGACGGACCAGCAGCAGTCTTCGAAGTAGCAGTATTAGCATTAGTGACGTTAGACCTTGCTGGTGCTGCATAATCATGCTGAGATTGTAAAGGTGCTACTTGCTGCACAGGAACTGATTGCTGGGACTGCTGAGCATTGGGAGAGAAACTAAATTGAAAAAATCGACCAAAGTCATGAAAATCATTAGAAATGCACGTAACAGAAAATACAACTCAAGTCAAACTACCATTAAGAATAACTACTTGAATAGATAAATTGAGAAGTAAAAAAAGAGAAAAACAGAAACAATTTACCCGGTTAGAAACATTAAAAATACTTCCGGCGAGAGATTTAAGCCAATGCAATTTAAACATACAACAAAAAGTTTTTATAATAGCAGAAATAAAAAAACCACAAGATCTACCTGCTGCTCATATTACCGTCAACTGGAATACTAACACCTTGAGGGTCTTGCTGTTGTGACACCGTAACATTTGCCACATAATATGACTCATTACCGCTAACAGAAGTTACAACAATAGTATTCGTATCACCATTTTGACCTTTAAATTAAGAAAGCGTCATAAGGTAGTGGTAATTTACCAACATCTTATCGACGGGCTAATCAATACAATATTAAACAGCAACAAGGAATTTCAGTAACGGTATTGCAAAGCAATTACTTTGTAAAGGCTGAGAAGAAGGGTTTGTAGAAGTAGACTGAGCAGTTTGAGGCAAAGTAGGAGAACTTTCAGAGGCGACATTATGATTTGCAACATTCTTGTTGTTAGAGGTTGCCTGTAAAAAACCTTTTCTAAGACTAACAAGCAAATAAAAAAGAAAATTAAACCTCCCCTTCCTCGGATAAACTAAATCGATACTTGACACATACATCTCCTAAAAATGGATCGATCCACCTCATCATTTCAAATTGACGGAGAGCAGGAGATCCAATCTGGCCACTGGACGTTGAACAAGATGAACTCCCTGAAGGATGCCTTTCACGACCGCCAGCATTTTCCTGCAAGAATTCACGATCCGAAATAGCCATA